GACGTGTGCGGCCAGGGCGCAGCGGCAGCACCACACGGGCATCGGGGAGCCGGCCGGACCGCGCCGGGAGCCGGCGAACGCGGCGCTGCGGCTGCTGCTGCTGCGGCTCCGCCTCCTTCCAGCGCCCATGCGGCGGCAGGTCACGGGCAGGGGGAGGAGCTCCGCCTCGTCCCGGCCCGCGGCTTCTCAGCACCGGGGAGGCGCAGGTGGCTGCGGCCCGCCCCCCTCCCCGCGGGAAGAGCCGGCTCGGCGCTGCTCCGTGGGCGCCTGCCGACGCATGGTTGCAGGGGCTACCCGTCGCTAGCCCTCCCGCTGCCGGGACCAGCCGGGCCCCCGAGGCAGGGTTTGCTCCAGGAGCCTCAGTCCGTGCCGGGGCCAAGCCATAGGTCAGAGCTCGCCCTGGGAGCTTGTGCTGGCGCAGGGAAAAGCAGGCGACGGACGGGTGAAGAAACCCCCCCAGCCTTTTGTTTCCCGGGCCCGGTCTCAGCCTGGGCCAACAGGGGCCCAGGTATGGGGGCAACTGCTCTGAGCCTTCCCTGCCAGACGGAGCCGCACAACAAGCATCCCCCCAGCCTCACAGCGGCCCCGCTTTCGATATGCACAATCCACACAACGCATCATCCAACACAAGGCACTGTGGCAAGGTTTCCCCCTCGCTCACCCACCATTTGGCTCCTATTGTTAAGTATTAGCATGAATCACATACTGGATAAAGAGGTCGGCTTCCCTTCTGGAAAGGTGATGTTTTGTAAAATACTGGGACAGGGCAGGAGGCAACTAAACATCTTTGCTTCCCCCTAGCAAATTCCACATGGTAAACTATATTCTCTGTTTGTTCAATTAAAAAAAAAACCTATCCAATTTCTTTTTCCACATGATGCCCTCTAACATTTTATATATTCCAGTGTAGTTTGGGGGGAAACAGTACACAGCTTTCACAGGCACGTGAATTACAGTAAAGGAACAGAGTTGTAGTGACTTACTTTTGTTATCCAAATTCATACTACTGTAAGCCCCCCTGCTCCATGTTAAGTATATTTATTGCAATCCTAAGAAGCTTGAGCACCACTCATACCAAAGGGTTACCCCCCACAAAAAAAAAAGACTTCCCTCCTTTATGCCCATCTTGCTCCACTGAAGTTAATGGAACCTATGAATAAAATAAGATTATTTCCCCTTTTCATGTCTGCTGTTACCATGTTTAATCATCCTGTAATGAGAGAGAAATTCCTCCATTGCACTAGCCAGTCTCTTAGACAAGTTTTTTTTCCTGTTTGCACGTGTGAAATAAAACTTCGAAAGAGAAACAGATAAGGTTTATTAAAAGCAACAGGGACAAGACAGATTAGTAGACCACTTCCTCAACCCCTCCCCCCACCCCACTCAGTTATGTCTGGCAACTTGAAGCTTTATTCTGTGCACCTCTGTTCCATAACAGATGAAAACTACTAGCCAGATCATTTAAGACCTCACAGGATTGTAGGGGGCTAGACTAGCTCCAATTATTAGTTATGGGAAGTGGTAGGTTTCTCATAAGCCTTCACTGAGGACCTTAGTTAGGAACTGACAGCAGTTTGGTAGCCTTCATCCAGTTTCTATTCAAAGTGTTGGTTAAATAGCTGGGTCTGTAGTCTCAGAAAGATGACTGAGTGGGCATGCAAACTAAAGTTTCACTCTTACCAATTACTAGGCCATGGTTGATAGTACTTCGACAGAGTTGTCTGGACTGTAAGTTATCTAGACAACCTAAGGATTTTATTCTTTCTGACTTTAAGGCAAGTGCCTTTCAAAAGGAATTTGAGAAACAGGAAACCTATATTTTTTTTTGATAGATATTGAACTATCTACACACAAAAGTAGCTTTCAGATGCTCAACTAGTGGTCACTATAGAAAACCTAAAAGCTAAGCAACACTGAAGCAGAGATGTCATGGCAGAGAAACAGATCCTACAAGAGCTTTTCCATTTTTAATTTTCAGACAAAGAAATGTAGCAAGATACATGAGCTTTCATAACCTAGTTTAAAGGGTTCCCCACCAAGTAAATAGAAGAGTGCAGTAGTAATGGCCAGATTTCTTACCACTTTGTAAGAACTACAGACAGATGCATCAGAAACAAAGTGGTCATCTGATTCCCATATCCCCAAAATGGAGATGAGACTGCTGGCATGGTTCAGCTCCTTCCCAGACAAAGTGCAGCTTTAATCTTGTGATTGTTACAGAGCTGATGCTGCAAGAGAGATGCACAGTGAGACCTGTGACTTGCCCAGGCTACCTGATGACAGGAGTTGAGCACAATCAATTTACAGTACATGCATGCACACAGATTCAGCCTGTCAGTGCCTCAAAGGCAGTATTCATAACCTTCCCCTGCTCCCCTCCCCAGATTTCCTGGCCTAGATTACAGCTAATATTTCTTCACAATAAATTTGTTCATACTCCTTTACTTTGCAGCAATACCTCTGAGGTTTCAGACAAAGTAGCCGAGTTCAGTTCCTGCAAAAACAAGGTTAAGGGTACCACAAGCCCTCCTATATACCAAACATGCTTGCCATTTACATTTCAGATTTTCTCAAAAGAATCTTGTTAATCTTTTCCCAGATACCGTAGGCAGTTGAGTGCCTAGTGAAGGAAGTAATGGACAGACAAGTTGCATTTGCAATAATGAGGTGTGGTAAAACATCTTAGGAGGCCCAACAACAAATGGTAAGAATAGCTGTGAAAGGTGACTCCTTAATGATGACTACACACTTTGGATTGCAGTTAAAAATATCTGCTTTTCACAGAAGCAATTTATAAAAGGTTTCTCTAAACATGCAAGCTTTTTTAATGTTACTTGCAAAATGCAACCTGTTTATTTTACCCTGGTCACACAGCAGTGAGAGATTGGTGGGAGGGGTGGTGGTTAGACCAAGACATGGAAGGTGGTTGGCCAAAGTAGCAACAAGCATAATTCATATATATTTGAAGATCATGAAGTTAACCCTTCCTTCCCCTACCACACACACACTTGGTGTCACATTGCATTTCTTGCTCCATATCTAGTCATAAGGTTCAGGTAGTTATTAGAGGTCAGTTGTATTCCAAATCTTTACATTCCTGTTAATTAGCAAGCAGGTTAGTCTTAGACTCCCATGCCTCCTTAATACTTTCTAGTGCTTTAAAGGAAAAAGAAAAAACAAACAACCACTAACAAATCAAGCATTTAGATTAGAACCAAATTATAGTTTAGAATCTAGAATCTTTATTTTTTTTAAACCAAAAACTTAGTAAAAAAAGAATTAAATTGAGACCATTCAAAATGCAGTAAGCAAGGGTTATCACTTACTGTGGAAAGAAAATCCTTGAAAAGAGTTTGTCTTAGCAACTTCTATGCTTTCAAACTAGATGAAGATTATTCTACTGGGTACCAGGATTTCACAAACATTAAGCCTCACAACACGTTTTGAACTGCAGGAGGTGAAAAATAAAGTAGTGAAGGTTAAGATCCAAGGATATAAATTAAAACTTGCTTTCTGAACAGGAGCAAGATACATAAACACAAAGACATAAGCATGCACAATCAGAGCATGCATGATAATGAAATAAGGGATAAAGTATGCAAGAAAAATAAAACTTGTGTTTGGTAGAAAAAGTTCATACTGATGTTTATATAAATATCAACTTTATCTGCTATGATTTCCAAGAGTTACCCTGCAACAGTAATACACTTTGCTATACCTCCATGTTTTTTTTGGTTTTGCATAGTAGAAGTGTACACTTCTACACTTTTTAAATCTTGTACAATAAAGATATGTAAAAGTTAGCTGTCAGCACTGCACTGCTAGCAAATTTCCAAGCCCTTTTTCTTCCCTCACATTCTGAGATTTCATTGCTTTCACCTGACACAAGACCTGCCTGCCAGAAATTCTCCCTTGGCACTTCCTGGCACATTTCATGGTGGAGGATGAGAGCTACTATGAAGGAACGCAGTCTTAGTATTAAGTTTCAAGGAGTTGGTGAAGGTCTAGAGTCTCATATCTACCTTATCTATTCTTTTTTCCTTAGGTACACCTGACTTAAAACCCCTCTTCTGCCTAAGGATACAGTCTTCCTAGTAACTTGAAAGAAGCAGCTTTGAGATACAGTCCCCCTCCTACCCATAAGCAGCATCCCACAGCTCTGAGACTAATTTCCAACAGGTTTTAATCTAACAGTCCACACGCTGCTTCCTACCTACCCATCCCTTGGGCTTGCCTTGTAATTGTGTAGTCTCGATCTCTTCTCTCTGTCCCTCCACCTTCCCAACCTGAATCTCCTCCATCACAGAAATCCTTTCTGATTAGCTAGGTCTTCTTTTTATCCCTTATCTGAGGCTAAGCCTGTCTCTTGATTGGTTACCTGGGCAGCTCCGATTGCTTCAGGGTCCTAGCTGCCCAACTATGCAAATTAACTCATTTTCTGTGATGGTGCCGATTGGCACCAACACACTGCCATTTTCTAACTTTTTTTTAGAAATTTGGAGGTAAAAAAGCACGTACAATACTTGTTTGCTTGGGCTAAGATATATTAATAGTTCACCCACTCTTTTATTCTGTATCCTTATTACTTTTCTTAGTTCCACAAACTGCTGACAGGAAAAACAATGCACTTCTCAAAATAGACATTTTCAGAGATTTAAAAAAATTCTTCTTTAGTATTACACATTCACGCAAAAAAACTCCGAGTTGGTTCTGACTCGTTTCCTTAACAAAAAAATGGATGTTATCAGTGCAACTAATGTTTCCTGCAATCTTCCCTAGACTCTTCAGAAGTTTATACACAAGATTATCATTGGAACAAATTATTCATAAAACCTCTCAGGTGGGGCAGAAAGGTAATATATTGTTCAGTGGTTGGGATATATGCACTGCTGTTTATAATCAGAAAAATCAGATGAGTCAGACTGAAAAGAATAGTTCAATCTAATACATATCTCCTATTGACAATTTGTATATTCACGTTTGCTTAAAAAACAGACATAACCAATTAACTACATGGGAAGTGCAGTAAAGTTTTGGCTGAATTCATTTGTACATGCAGAAATCTTCAGGTATACACAGGCTTCACAAACAGATATGCTTATAAATTACTTATATGCATTTGCAGAGTGCAACAGAAA